TTGAGTTCTGATCATCCATTCATCGGGACCAGGTCACGTGGGTACCATCTGCAAGTGTGGGTGTTTGTGTGCATATGACCTCTCTTCCTATCAGCTGGTAGTTTCACTATCCACTCTAGTCCTCTGTGGCCACACCACTGACTCTGGGTCCAGGAGTCCCCAGGTCTCCCCACACTGCTGGCCAACCAGGTCCCCATCTGGGTCCACAGAAGCCCACAGAACATTGTAGGGCTTAGCTTGCCGCTTCATTGTTGATTTTACCCCACTTCCCCCTATCGGCGATGCGTGTGGTCACCAATCAGGGCGCATATTTCCGTTGAATCTTAGTCTTGGAAGGGGGTTTGCTTTCAGGGAACCCAACCACTTGCCTTGATGTTTCCTGAGCAAGCATTTGTTATTGTAGTAACAGTCCATCTGACTCTATTGTTTTGTATTTTTCCTGTAGGTCTTTCTTTCAAGAAGTATCTTCTGTTCTTCTAGCCGCTCCAGGCTGGTTTGCTCGTCCTTTCAAGTGGGAATTTCCCATCTCTGGAGATCTGGATGTGGTTCAGGCTTCACCTATACTCTTATATATTGCAAAGGCTCTGCAGAAAGCCGCCTTCCCTGGGCACTTTGTAGCCCCATTTTAGGTATTCCAATCAGTTATAGGCAGAAGATGGACTTACAAGCTTTCTATGGTGATGTTTTTGACTATTCCTTTTTCTCCCCTCCAGTGTCTACTTTATATTATAATGCAAGGAAAACCAAGATTCAAAAGACTGCCGAGCATCTTAACATTATTCCCCACTTTTCCCCTTTACAGCCATGGGTCAATCTTTGTATCCCTGAGCCCTGTAGTTCCAAGGTTATGCATGCATCATTCTTTATATCTGTCCCACTTAGCCCATTCAAACATGCCTACTTGTTCTCCCATCTGCTTTGTTCTTCCGTTTCCCTCTCCCTCCTTGTATATAGCCCCTATCCCTAGCACCCAAACTTTCCTGTGTCTAATCCATACCCTGTGCTCAAACTTCCCCTCCCTCCACTCACCCACCAACGACTGCCCAACAATCAACAAAAAATTCCCCCTACCCTCTTTAGTATGGTTTCTTTTTCTTAGTCTTTTACAATAGTGGTCCTATGCCGTATTTCTCTTTTTGTGACTAATTTCACTCAGCATAATGTCCTCAAGGTTCATCCATGTTATGTGGTGGCTTGCCGCTTCCTTGTTATTCTTCAAGGTAGCATAATATTCCATTGTGTGTATGTACCACAGTTTGTTTATCCATTCTTCAGTGGATGGGCACTTTGGTTGTCTCCATCTTTTTGCTATTGTAAATAGTGCT